TAGAAATTAATATATGTAAATTTTAGTAAAGATGAAATTCTTTTCATCTTCAAAACAATGTAAAGTTTAGCAACGGTAAAGTTAAACAAATATAAACTCATATATTATTTATATTATTAATTTCTTGTAAATATTTAATTATTTGGTATTAGTATAAAATGAACTATTAAATATCTATAATAATAAAATAGTGAACTCTTAAAATCTAGCAATCTCTATTAAACTTAGTTGCAAAAAGTAACTATGAAATTAGAACTTAGGTATTTTTTCACTTATATGGACATTAACATTGCGGTTTTTATATCATTAGTGGCATATATTTTAATAAAACATATTTTTAAGTGCGGATGTACATGTTTTCAAACACAATAATGTTATAATTTGCTTGTTTGTTATCCAATTGATTGTTTCAAACCGTAATTTGTATTTATTACTTCTTATTATCAATTTATTTTGGTAGATTTGTGTTTGATTATTAGAAATTAATATATGTAAATTTTAATAAAGATGAAATTCTTTAACAATGTAAAGTTTAGCAACGGTAAAGTTAAACAAATATAAACTCATATATTATTTATATTATTAATTTCTTGTAAATATTTAATTATTTGGTATTAGTATAAAATGAACTATTAAATATCTATAATAATAAAATAGTGAACTCTTAAAATCTAGCAATCTCTCTTAAATTTGGTTGCAAAAAGTAACTATGAAATCTTCTTTAGTGATTTTTTACAGAAGTTGTGTGATTGTTGTTATTAGATTGTTTTATTATTGTTTTTTTTCATGATTGTTAGGTTATATATTATGGCATTTAAGATATGTGATATTGTAGATATATATATATATATACAGGGACGGACCCACTTGAGAGGGTGTGGGGTCAACTGACACCACAAAAATCCTATAAATTTTAGTTTATAGGCAATTGTTTACTAATGAACTGTGTGGTGCAGTGGTAGGAAAGTGCATTATTGAATCCACAGATAAAGGGTTCGATTCCACCCACTGACTTCTTATTTTTCTTTTTTAAAATTTACACAGTTAATGACCCCACAAATATTTCTGGCTGGGTCCGCCACTGTATATATATATATTGTTCTGTTTTTATAATTTCTTTCAAGTGACCGGTTTTCAATGTATTATATATTTATATTTAACTTGTTTAGTTTATTGAATATTTGGTTTTCTACAAGGTTCTTACTTTTGACAAAAAATGTATATAATGGGATACGATGGTTTGTCATTTTCATGTGTATAAGTGGAAGTAAATGATCTTGGAGATATGTAATCTATCGTATGCACAGACTATGGTTTTACAATGCATGGTGTATATCTCCTTATGTAATCTAGTAGAAGAAGTAAAAATTCATTACCAATATATTAATAAGAAAGAATAAAACTGGTTTGATATGACATATAAGTATGGTAAATCGTTTGCAATGGAAGAGTGAATCGCTTTGGTTAGATTTTAAATATGGGGTTGACTTATTTAATTACGTTCCGGTTGTTTTGAGAATAGTAGACAATAATATTATGGAAGATATAATGTCGTTTCTCCTTAATGCTCGGAAAATAATGTTATGTTTTAAATTAATGATTTTCTAGTAAGGATCCATTTTTTAAAAAGTTACACATGAAATGAAGTCATGATTTCTCTTTTAATATATAAGATACCACATCAAATATAATTACAAAAATTAAATAAAATAGAAAGATAATAGTTAGAGATTCATTTTAAAAATTGAGCCACTGGTTATGTTCTAAGGAATTGAGAAGAGACTCAAACACTAAGCCTAACACACGAAGATAATATTACATTCTTTTATTCTAAGTCAACTGATTACATTAATTTTAATTATTCTCTACGTCGACTGATACTTTTCTTTTGTTCTTTCCTTTTACCAAGATCAGTAGGATCGTAATATTTTATCTAATTCATAGACACAAGAAAGCCGAACTGAACTCTTTCTTTAAATCACCGGCCTGATAGAAAAACCGGTTCAAGGTTATTATCGATCGACTCTTTCACGGCATCAACAATAACCTGCGTCTTCCGGCTAAAGCTAAGCCAAAACCCATCCGGTTTAGCTCCTCTGTATTTTATTTCTCCAACTAACCGGGCAAACTCAACCACCATACACACCTCTTGTGGAATCTCATTCCTGACTTTGTGCTCACTGAGACAGGCTCTGGTGCTTGTAGTAAACGAGGCTTCGGTTTCTTGAAAAGGGATAACAAAGTCGTGGATACGGAGAGTGCCTTTTGTACCGATCGCAGTTATCTCCATTGTTACATTTGCTAAGAAAGAGCAGTAGATTGTTGCGGTTACCCCTTCTTCCCAATCGAGCAATGCACCACAAGAGAGAACGATTCCTGCATCGTTAAGGACATGACCGGGCAAGGCAGAGACGGTATTGGGGAGTTTGGAGCTGTTGGCGAGAAGAGCTGCCTGGATTGTGTACCATCCAGCATCACCCAGTGCACCGAGACCATCAAGACCAGGCTTTACACGTATATCGTTTCTTAGAAAATCTTCATTTGCGGCAAATGAGAAACAACTTTGGACCTGAAATAAATATTAGCAAGGAAATCTCAATTTTGAACCCCAAAATGTCACCAAACTTATACATAATAGGATGGTTTCCAAATCAAATACCAAGGTTTAGTATCTTAAAACAAAATCGTTTCGTCAATTATGAACGCAAACGCAAATATTTTCCTTTTGACACAATTTATAGCTTTATATTTTGAGCTAATACCAAATAGAGACAATTATAGTTTATAAGTAAAAGTATCGAATTTAGACCACAATCCATGGATCAACGGAATAAGATGTCAAAAATAGAAATGAAAGCTCAGAGGAACAAACTTTTACATAACAAGATACTTTTTTAAATCCACATGAAAACCCAACTTTATTTTGTCTCTTACTTATGAACGCAAACGCAAATGTTGGCGTTTGAAAACAAATAGAGACAGAAACAAAATGACACATTCCTGATGAAAGATAACAATTACAGCTAAGAAAAATGAAAATTTATCGTCAAACAATTAATCAATTTAACTAATATTTAATGCAGCAAAAATTTAACTAAAAACATCATTAAATTGAGAGATGGGTGGGATAAGACATACGGTTTTGAGCAGGCCAAAACTCACTGGATCGGTGAGAAACTCCTTAATCTTAGCAGTCCTAGGATTGTGGATCCACTGAGTCCCATCCATAAACTGAATCCCATTAGCTTCACAAGCCTCAACGATCTGATCGAACTCATAAACATTAAGAGCAACCGGCTTATCAAGCAGTATATGTTTCCCCTTGTGCGCGGCGCGTACAGCCCACTCGACGTGGAGGCTGGCTGGAATAGGAAAGTAAATGGCGTCGACATCGGGGTCTTCTAGAAGGGACTCGTAAGAGCCATGAATCTTGACAGTCGGAGGGAAATTGTTAGATAAAACAAACGATTTCGTTTCTTCGATGGAGTTAGTGATGCTGCTGGCTATGGCTGATATAGTAGCGTTCGGAGCTAGATTGATGGCTCGAGAGACTTTCCTGACGATGTTGGTGCAGCTCAACACTCCGATTCTGATCTGGCTACCGTCGGCCATTTGATAGATCTTTTCTCCACCGACAAAGTCAAATCTTGTTACTCTCTCCTTTGTTTTGTCTTGTCAATATAAGTTTCACAGTACGTTTTATATTTAATTAATTCACACACGAAAAAATTTGTTACGTTCTACTGAAGTTGAATTTTGCAAAATAATCAAAGGTATTGCTTGATTTTAATTAATAAAATCCTTATTCCTGAATATCGAGCAAAAAAGTTAGAAGAGATTATATATTTTGCCGTTTGTTGATATACGGTGACAAGTGACTTGTTCGATAAGAGTGGCGGCGGCTTAACCGCCTTAGCGATCAAATAAAAGAGGAAGGGAGATAAAAGAATAAGCTTTAAGCTTCATCCTGCACGCAGCGGCTATGAGTAGGACAGAAGAAACATCGGCTGGCTGCATTGTCGGAATCTGCTCTCTCGTTTGTCAAGCTTGTAGATTCCTACGTATCCTACTCTCTTTGCTCAGTGAGGGTTCCAGGAACCAGGATCGCAATCATCATCATCATCATCAAGACAGAGATCACCGGAGCTCAGCTTGAAGCTGCTTCGCCAGACAAGAATACAAGAGTTCAAGATCATGTTTTTTTATAAAACCAAAACCAGACGGTCTCTTTACTACTTTCTTGTGAGGTTTTGTGAATATTAGAAAAAAAGAACCATAACATATGCAAACAAAAAGCACTGAACAATCGGACAAGAAACGAAACTCTTTTATCAAGAATTTAACATTCTTTACTCCTTCAATCTCTATACACATTCAAAGACCCTATATATATATAAAGAAAAATATGTCAACATTCCCATGACTATTAATGTGGATCATGGTTGGTTTCTTCTAACTTACCTTTAATTACGACTATGGCTCAAGAGAAATCACCTTTCATGAGAAGACGGGCCTTCCCGACGCTCGAACCGTGGCTATGAACACCCAGAAGATGGCACACAAGGCACCCACGATTGATAAGACAAGAAACCCTCTGTTTCTGCTACGCTTCTTTGCTACTGCGGTAGTTGTAGCAGGCGTTCCATTAGCCTTTCCACTGAACCTCATACGGCTGAAGCTAGACATGCGCACAAATGTCCGGTTAATAGGACCCTCACACGCAGAAGCTGGCGTTGAAGGTATTGAATCCATAAATGCCCACAGGGCAGATGAGAAGGGGCTCGTTCCACCTCCATCATTTTCGCCTTCCTGGTCTTGAGCAGTTACACTGGTCCTAAGATTTGTGGAGCCGGGCATCAAATTCACACCTAAGCAAATAGTGTACAACGGAGAGGCTCAAGGCTATTGCGATTAAAAGGTCATAACAAGAGGGCTTGATAAGTAACAAACAGCAGAATATCATATATGCATGCATATGGTTCAAGTCGAAAGAAAATTGCAGAAAAAATATCTGTGCTTAGTGGGAATTATAAGTTAACATACAGCTTAGATGAAAGCTTTGAGATGAGCATGTACCTGATGAAGGTGAAGCAAATGCTCCAGAAATAACAGATTGCGGTTGATCAAAGAGGACAGCCTGATCATCATCTTCAAGCCACAGGTCATCAGTGAACTGATTGAGATTTGGACTAGGATCCATGAAGTTGTTCAGCTTGTTCTCAGGGGTCTGGTCCTGGAACTGTTGATAAATGGGTTGGTGTTCTTGGTCTGATGTATTATTCAGAGAAGAAGAATCTGCAGAAGCTCCCTGAAAAATAGGTTCCATATCCAAGAACATGGAAACGTCATGGAACAATTGGTCAAACTCATTGAACTCTCTAAATTCACCAGGGTCCAAGAATTGTTCGGGTTTCTCAGTTGAAGAAGCTCCGAGTTCAGGGATCAGAAGATCATCCATTTCGATGTAATCTTCCTTCTCAAACACAAACGGCCCCATACCAGAGTCATTGGGAACTGACGTGACTTCAGTAGACTCAAAACTCGAGGGCATGTTGTATGGCAAGAGCTCTCCAATTTGCTGCGGTTCAAGAAACTCTCCAGAAGAATTGTTCACCAACGTGCTTTGCAGCTCTTCTTGGCTGTTAACCTGCAAAGCACAATTATCTATATAGTGAGAAAAGCACAGCAAAACGAGGGCCTAATCCAATAATAGACTTGTAGTAAAAAAAAAAAAAAAAGAAACTGACCTGGGGAATACTAGAAGCAAGGCCATTATTAATACATGTTTGAGGAACCCCAGGCGCATATGGGATTCCATTGAGAATGTCCTCGATATCATCTAACTGAACATTGACAGGATTGAAAAGTGTAGCAATAGCATTATCCACACGACGAGTATCTTCATAACGAACCATAGGTTGTTCTGGAACAGCAATTTCATTGCCAACATCATCAACCCATTCTTCTTCCTGGAAGGGAGCACCATAATCCTCACCGTTTTTGGGGCCAGCCCCACTTTTCTTGAACAGCTTATAAAGAGCATAATACTCCTGATGAAAAAAAAAAGTAGGGTAAAATCGAATAAGTTAATCATCAAAGAACAAACAAAAGAAAGAGACCACTTGGGTAATAATCTATACCTTGGCGTTCTTCCATCTGGCGAGCTCTTCTTCATCCATGGTGTACTCGTGCATCACCCAATCAGTACGCTCACCATTAGGAGCACGGCCTCGATAGAAAACAAGTGTCTTCTTGAGTCCCACGGATCTCGAGTTGTAGACTATGACACGATCTTTCCCTGTAGCCTTCCAATACCCAGTTGCGGTGCATCTACCGGACCTAGCTGCGTTTGGATACTTCCTGTTCCTCGGAGTGAAAAAGAACCACTGTCGATCCCCTGACTTCAACACCGATTGACCTGAGTCAATACAAATTGATCAGATACAAGTTTGATCCGGAGAAATCTAAAAATCGAAAGCGAGCGTACCAACCAGGCAATTCTTCAGGATCCAATTTGTAAACACGGACAACGCCTATGGCATTGACTCTAAGCCTTCTCTTGCAAATCTTCCTCTTCAGATAATACATCACCAGCTCCTCATCAGTCGGATGAAATCGAAACCCTGGGGCACTCAACTTACCTCCTTTTAAACACGAATCTGGAGACGATTCCGCCATTTAAAGCAAAATTACTTCGAAAGAACCCGATCGGGTGAACGAGGACAAAACTCCAGATCCCTCTCTCCTACTCTCTCCAGATTTTGGTTGGCTATCTGAATGTCTCTCCCACCCGTTTCCCATCACTCGGCCTTGCTACAGAGACCATCTGGGCCTTCAAATTCGCTTATTCTAGCCCACTTACTTGATCTCCCCTAATTAACAAGTTACGTCAAGTACAAGATGCTTGCACTCCTTACCTAACTTGCTCTTCTCTCTATTCTCTTCAGAGAGTCTCCTCACTCTTAATAATTCACAATTCTCTTACACGTATAGATATGCTTTGACTTTTGTTCAATTATAAACTAGTATCACCCAGCCAATCTTCTTTGCCTTTTACATATAAACTAGGAAACAAATTCTTTACAGTTAAATTTAAATGATTTGATATTAATAAAAAATAAAAACAACTGAATATTTGAAACTAACTACAAGAGTCATGCTTCCAACGACATTGATAATAGGAGTGGGTCTCATGTTCTCGGTGAAAATGAGGCGGTGATTGCACATGCAGTTGTTCCTTATGAACAAACAAAGCAAATAGGCGAGACAGTATCGGAGAGTGATCATAGTCACCAGAGAAATATTGGGGATGGAGTCTTGAGCACGGAGGAGCAAAATAAATTGGCTAGCACAATTGTATCTCCTGCTTTGAGACGCCCACTGATGGATGACAATGTCACCATCCGAAGCAGGAGTGCTGCAAAATCACTCACGTACTCTCCCCAAGAGGATCGAATGGTGGATCGGCACGAATCGGTCATCGATGCCTTAAGCGATATGGAAGTTTAGGAATATGACTTATTTGATGACGAGCTTCAGGAGTTGGAAGATGCTGCCCTTTCCTCATCTGCTATGGGTACAACTAGGCGAAAACATGATTCAACCGTATCAAAGAGAGGAAGTAGATCCAAAAATAATACCACGTTGAGTATTCAAACGAAAAAATCGGAGTTCCTTCGTAGAGGTTCTCCTAAACTGAGATCAACAATTGCGCCTTCTATGGCACAAACAAGGGACAAAGAGAAGGCAAGGCACATACACAGATGATCAAAATGCAAAAGGAATTTCAGGAAAGGATGTTGGTTTGGTGGGATCCAAAAACCCATCCAATCTTTATCCATGAAGACAATCAGTTGGAACTGTCAAGGGATTGAGAATAACCTCACAGTTCAACGCCTTACGAAGATGTGTCAGAAGCATCGCCCATGACTTGTGTTCCTTTCTGAAACGAAGAATAGGAGGTTACTGTTGCAAGAAATTCAGGCCGACTTAGGATTTGATCGTGTTTTTACCATTGAGCCACTTAGTCTCAGCGGCGTTTTAGCTATTTCTTATATGGATGATTTTCATGTTAAGATTTTATTTTCAAATAACAGAATGATTGACATTGAGGCAATCATTGATGGAATAAAAGTTTTTATGACGTTCGTTTATGGAGATCCTGTATTAGAACGTAGGGAGTTAGTTTGGGAACGTCTTACGCGGTTTTCAACAACACGAAATGGACCATGGTTCATGATTGGTGACTTTAATGAGATTACATGCCACGAAGAGAAAGAAGGAGGTCGAGAACGTTCAGACAGCTCTTTTTTGCCTTTCAGGCAAATGTTGAGCGATTGTGGGATGTTGGAGTTCCCCTTTATAGGAAACATGCTATCATGGGCTGGGAAAATAGCATGGAGAGTTACCGTTCGATACAGTTTGGACAGAGCGGTTGGCAATGAGGATTGGCATGACAAATTCCCTCACTCGAAGGTACCATATATGAGGATGTGGGGATCGGATCATCGTCCGATTTTAGCTGATATACTCAAAAAGTGGCCACGGAGATCGAAAATTTTTAAATTTGATAAGCGGTGGCTTGGACAACGAGGAGCTCAGGCAAGTAATTCTGGAAGGGTGGAAATCACTGGATCTTCCACCAGAAGCTAGTATAATGGAGCATATTGCAAGTTGCAGACGAGCTTTGTGTGACTGGAAGAGACAACACAATCTAAACTTTGAAAGAAGTGTGGAAAAGTTAAAGGAAAAAGTAGATCAGTTATCTTCAAACGACGATGCCACTACTGAGGAGATTGCCGCGGCTTTAAAGGAACTATCTGATGCTTTTAAGGCAGAGGAGATGTTCTGGAAGCAGAAGTGTAGGGTTTTTTGGCTACTAGAAGGAGACAGGAATACCAAATTTTTCACGCTCTTACGAAACAGAGAAGGGCAAAGAACAAGATTACACAGCTTTTGGATGAAAATGGAAATGTGGTTCAGGATGAGTAGGGACTTGTAGCCATTGCTACAAATTATTTTAGATATATCTTCCAATCATCAAATCCCGAGGAAATAGAGGAAGCACTGTCTGAGGTCTCTACAACCATTACATCAGTGGACAATGAAAATCTTACCGCACCAGTCATTGAATGGGAGATCAAGTTGGCGCTTTTTGCGATGCATCCAGAGAAAGTTCCAGGGCTAGATGGAATGACTGCGCTCTTTTACCAAAAATTTTGGGATATTGTAAAAGATGATTTAACTCTTATGGTTAATAAATTTCTGTTTGAAGGTACGATACCCACTGGTTTGAATGAAACCAACATATGTCTCATTCCGAAAGTTGATATGCCAAATCAGATGAGTTGGGTACGACCTATCAGCTTATGCAATGTTAGCTATAAGATAATCTTTAAGGTCTTATGCCAAAGACTAAAGAAAGTTCTTCCAGATAGAATCTCAGAAACCCAGTCAGCCTTTGTTGCGGGGAGGCAGATCTCTGATAACATTATGATTGCTCAAGAGATGTTACATGCTCTAAGAACAAAACCCAGTGGACGTAATAAGAGGATGGCCATTAAAACAGACATGAGCAAGGCATATGATAGAATGGAGTGGTCCTTCATTGAGGCCACCATGCGAAAGATGAGTTTCTCGGAAATCTGGATAACCTGGATAATGCGATGTGTAACATCGGTTAAGTACAATGTACTTATGAATGGACAACCAATGGGAAGTATTGTTCTGGAGAGAGGTCTACGGCAGGGGGATCCGCTGTCCACTTTCATTTTTATTCTATGCACGGAAGCGCTCATTAGCCTTCTTAATCACGCAGAGAATCAGGGAAAGATAATAGGGATGCGTATCACGCGTGCGTGTCCATCGGTATCTCACCTACTCTTTGCTGATGATAGCCTTTTATTTTGTAAGGCGGATCCCCGTGAATGTGAAGAAGTAATGAAAGTGGTCAAGAAATATGGACAAGTTTCTGGACAATGCATTAATTTTGACAAGTCATCTCTACTCTTTGGTAAGAGAATTGGACAAGACGCAGGCAAGAAATTAAAGATACACTTGGAATCCAAAATAAGGTAGGGATGTGAACTTACTTAGGGATTCCAGAAGATATCAGTGGTTTTATATGCAAGCTCTTTGCCTTCCTAAAGGAAAGCTTAGAAATAGAGTAAATGACTGGACGAGAAGGTGGCTATCAAAAGGTGGAAAGGAAGTAATGATAAAGTCAATCCTGCTAGCTCTCCCAACTTATGTAATGTCCTGTTTTCTTCTCCCTTTGGAGATATGTAATGCCTTGGCCAGTGCCATTGCACAGTTTTGGTGGAGCTCGAACCCGCCAAAAAGTGGTTTACACTAGTCAACATGAGACAAGTTATGTTTATCGAAAGAGGAAGGGGGAATTGGCTTCAGGATGATTCCTGAGTTTAACTTGGCGCTGCTAGCCAAACAGTTGTGGAGATTGGCTCAATACCCAGACTCCCTACTAGCTCGAGTTATGAGAGGTCGCTACTATCGTTCGAGCTCACCCTTGAGAAAGTTCCCTGTCAGTAACCCATCGTATGTGTGGATAAGCATCTCGGCTGCACGGGAGTTATTGATGTTGGGGGTTAGACAAGAGATACATTAAGGCTATGATGTAAAAGTATGGGAAGACCCTTGGATTCCCACAATCCCAGTGAGGCCAGCGAATTCATCTGCTCCGTTTTGAACCCAAACATGCGAGTGAGTGATCTTATTAATCAAGAAAAAAGTCTTGGGATTTGGATCGATTGGCAAATTATGTTGATGCTGTTGACATACTTCTCATAAGGAGTATGGCTATTAGTTCTACTCATCGTAGAGATACGCATTGCTGGAGTTACACAAGGAATGGGCAGTACACAGTCAAATCCGACTATTGGGTCACTCGTAACATATTGATGAAGGATGATGATAACATAGTGGGTGAACCTAGTATCACAAGACTCCAGGCACATGCCTGGAAGGTCAAAGCTCCCCCGAAGATGTGTCATTTTATGTGGCAGATTATAACGGGGCATGTTGCTGTTACAAGTGCGTTGAACCATAGACACATGCGATGCGACAATTTTTGTCCAAGATGTGGAGAACCGGAAGAGACAATTGCACATGCAATCTTTCTATGCCCACCTGCATTACATGTGTGGGCTTTAGCATCTATACCTACCAGTTCAACTGTATTCCCACTGCACAGCACATATGCGAACATGGATTCTCTTTTTTGGAGGAAGAAGGCCACAATGGAGCCAGAATTAGACAGGGACCCTTATCCTTGGCTAATATGGTACATTTGGAAGGCTCGGAATGACAAGTTGCTCCGAGGAATTGATAGAGATCCTATGGAGCTAGCTCGATATGCGGAGAGTGAGTGACCAACACAAGGGAACACTGAGGCGGGAAACATAGATGTTGGAAATCAGGTCATAAGCCTTGAAGATATTTGCATGGTAGACGGTTCTTGCACCTCTACAGACCAATTCTCAGGCTGTGGATGGAATTGGAAGGATAGCATGGGAAATAGTCAGTTGATGGGCATGCGTAATGTTAGTAGGGTGGAATCGGCTTTGCATTCTGAGCTGGAAGCACTGCGGTGGGCAATGGAGAATATGCTTCAATATTCGGCATGTCAGAGCTTTGGGACGGACTGCAAGGAATTGATAGCAATGCTCACAAACCCCCAGCAATGGCCAAGCTTTTCGACGGAACTGGAGAAGCTCTTGACGCTGCGGATCTGCTTCCTAGATTTCAAGTTATTTTATGTGCCTAGGTCCCAGAATGCTGTGTCTGATTGCTTAGCTAAGACTGCTAGATCCTTCTTTCGTGATTTGTTGTTTGTTGGTTGTTCTATTCCGGTCTGGATTCCTATACCATCTCAAGTTTGAGTAATAGATCAGCATTTCGTTGTCAAAAAAAAAAAACTAAAAATAGTCTAAAAGATA